AAAATATCACCAGTAAATTAGAAAAACATGGAACAAACATGTTACCTATCAGATTCAAGGACAGGAGAATAATAATATATGAAGAAACAAGAGATAAAGAGCATTGTTGTGGTATAGAATGGAAAATTTTGGTTATTTTAAATTTAAAAGTGCTTGTGTAAATAAAACCAATGTAGCCAAGATTACAAGGAAAGCAGAAAATTGGAGAAAACCTGTATAGACAATCTCTCAGATAAAGGTTTAATTTCTCAAATATATAAAGAACTTCAGCAATATTTATAAGTCATACCTCAATGGATAAATGGTCAAAGGATATGAACAGGTGGTTTTTCAGTGAAGAAATCAAAACTATGGATAATCATATAAAATGCTCTAAATCATTGTTAATTAGAGAAATGCAAATTAAAACAACTTTGAGATATCTTACACCTAAAAGATATGGCTAAAATGACAGGCACCCTTCAACTGGGGAATGGCTAAACGAGTTGTGGGATAGAATTGTGATGGAATACTATTGTGATATAAGAAATGATGAGCTGGTTGATTCAGAAAACATGGAAAGACTTGGACCCATGAAGGAAGATGCTATCCACCTCCAGAGAAAGAACTAACAAATAGAAATATGCATAGCATGGTCTTACATATATGCACACATGTGCACATGTATGTGTATATATGTGTGTTTATAGATTGTGTTTATAGATATATATATACATATAAATATGTATATATATACATATATATATATTTGCGTTTAATTGTAGCCTTCTCTAGGGTGGGGGGGAGGGAGAAAGAAAATAAAATAAAAAGTGAATAGCAGAGAATGAAAGATAACCTAGAAGGAGGCACAGAAAAGCTTTGAAAACAATATGTAATATTTATCGCATAGTTTTCTCAAAATGGAAATTTATTGTTTTATATTGAATCCTTTTAGGTTTTGCTGTGTACACAGAAATGTTTTTTTCTTTTCTCATTTTGTATGTAAGTTTAAAATGAATAAAAAATTAAAAACAAAAACAACATTCCATATGCTTTCTGACTAGGGCAGAGAGCAGTAAGATCTTCACTTCCCTTTTTTCTATCGATTCAGGGCTTGCAGTTCACTACAGCTCCAAGGACTTTTTCATTTGAATTGCTGTATAGCTATGCCTTCCCCTCCCTTGAAACCATTTTTTTTTTCAAAGTGAGGTAGAGTATCGAGGTGGTGCAGTGGATAGAGAGTTGACCACGAAGGACCTGAGTTCAAATCTGACCTCAGGCATTTACTAGTTGTATGACCCTGGGCAAATCACTTAGCCCTGTTTGCCTCAGTTTCTTCATCTGTAAAATGAGAAGGAAATGGCAAACCACTGCAGTATCTTTACCAAGAAAACCCCAGATGGGGTCACAGAGAGTCAGACATGACTAAAACTATACGACAGCAAAACATACCTTTTTTATTTATTCTCATTAAATCCAAACTTATTGGACTTGGTCCAATAATCTAACCTATAGAGGTCTATTTGGATCCTGACTCTGCCATCCAGTATGTTAACTATCCCTCCAAGGTTTGCATCAACTACAAATTTAGTCCATAGTGCTACATCTCTTCCACAAAGATAGCATGACACACTTTGTCAAATGCTTTGCTGAAATGAAGGTATATTTTTCTACAGCATTCCTTGGATCATTACTATTCTAGTTAGCCTGTCAAAGAAGAAAATGAAGCTAGTCTGATATAACATGGCCTTGATGAAATCATATTTGCTTAATACCCATAAATCCTATGCTTCTGTTTTCACCAAAGGTCCCTCCTGCTACAAAGAGCTCACGTCCATGTTGAGGTTCTCTTCATTACTGGATCCATCACTCCCATCAAGGCAGGATCTAGGAACTTCAATATTTGTTTATCCCCCAAAGGCAGCCACCGTTTCCCCTTACAAGCACACAAGCTCACACAGCTTCAAAATATAGAACCGTTTTATTTACACAATAAAATATTCAGAAAGCACTCACTTGCAAGCCCACAGAGAGTGAAGAGATACCTTCTATCCAATGTGCCACCTTTCCTTTCAGGAAAGTCCTGGTGGCTTACAGTAGTACCCAGTGGGGCACCATTATAAGATAAGGTTCCTCTGTGCCTGGGCTGGTGAAGGTGGCTGAGCCAGGTTGGGTGAATTACCAAAGACTGCTTATTTGAAAGTCTCTAAAAGCAGGAGAAGGAGGGAAGAAAGGGTGGCATCTGGAGGCTTTGCTCAGATCAGGCGTCCAAAAGACTTCCAGGGAACAGAGCAACCTTTTACGACATGAATTATAGTGTTTTAGCTACACTTTGCCGATGTTTTATGCCGTTACTGAGCGACCTCTCATCTGATGCCTCCTGGGGATCCTTAGCTCCATCCTTAGCTTCCTTGCACCACAAGAAGCTGATTTTCCTTAGATGACTATAGCTCCGTCTTCTACGGGAAGAAACTCAAGTCTATGACTTTTGTGATCCATGGCCCAGGAGGCTCTTTTCCACAAGAGGCTTCAGCTCTTGATTCACATAGACTGGGTTCAATCTGGGAGGCGCCTTCCCCCCCCAAAAAAAAGGGATCAGGTCCCTTTTCCTCTCCCTTTCTGGTTTGTTATACTCCCATTCTTCTGACTTCTTGAGCAGCAAAGTGGTACAATGGATAGAATGCCAGGCCTGGAGTCAGGAAGACCTGAGTTCAAATCTGGCCTCAGACATTGGCTGTGTGACCCTGGGCAAGTCACTTAACCCTATTTGCCTCAGTTTCCTTATCTGTAAAATGAGCTGGAAAAGGAATATGGCAAAGCACTCCGGTATCTCTGCCAAGAAAACCCAAGATGGAGTCACAAAGAGTCGGACGTGACTGAAACAACTGAACAATAATGACTTGCTGACTCCAGATCTAGCACTCTTACCCTCTGAGACCCCTAGCTGACCCAAACTGATGGGTAACTAGTGGGTATTGTATGACCAGCTGGCAGTGTATCCTTTCTGTTCCTTCTTCCTGGCTGGATCTTTTTCAGGTCTTTCTAATCTCCTCTTTCAGAGGCTTTAGGGTGAGGACGTTTCTCTGGTTGCCACCCTCTCCTTCCTGTCTTCTTTTCTCTGGGAGATTTAATCTGTCCCCATCTGTTTCGACAGTTAACTCACCTTTCAGCCTGGAGCAATAGCTCTCAGGTTCTCTCAATCCTTTCCTCTATTTTAAGTATAACTATCAGATTAAAAAGTTATTAATTCAGTCACAATAGCTCAGGACCCTCAATTAGGAAAACTCCTAACAGCCTGGACAAAGGTTTGGGTTTCTGCACTGATTCAATTTTTCCTTCTCTCTAGCTATCTCCCGGCTTCTAAATGTTGAAGACAAAAAATCAGGATAATAGAGCATAGTACAGCATTTGTTACTGGACAGTCATAGAGAGGGGAAGTTGGGGGGAACTTTGGTTCTTGAGGGGGTGGTGAGTACAACTGGTAACCATAAGGTTTTCTGTTCTGAGCTGCCTGAAGGGGACCAGTGGTGCTCCTTGATCTCTCTCTCTTCTTCGCCACAGCTCAGCCCTCTCTTCAGTATCTCCTTTTTGCCAACTGACTTTCCTGCTGATCCTTTCTGGTTCAACTCATAAAAACCTGGGCAAGGTTGGTAATGATGTCTCCTTCCATACTGCTGCAACTGCTTCTTAGCTCTTGCAGTGCCCATTTCTTCCTCTCAATCCATCACTCAGAGACCATAAATGTCCCTTTAAGGACTCCTAGGCATGACTCAACTCTGCCTCCTGGTACAGCTCGGGATAGTCTCAAAACACTGACAGGGTTGAGATGGAATCAGACACCAATCAGTTCTTACGCTCCCATTATGCACCCCCCCCCCAAGGAACACTATTTTCCCCACTAACAGAGCGTAAAGAAGCAGTCCTGCAGTCTCTTCATCTCCTCTAGAATAAAGACCAACCTGTATTTTGTGCAGAGCAGATACATAAACACAGCACACTTCTAGGAGTTAGGGAGCAAGTTTCTCTTTGCCCTTCGTAACTGCTGGGGGCGAGATGGTGAGCTCTCTGTATAGTTCTCTCTCTCTCTCTCTTTTTTTCTTTTGGCAAGGCAATTGGGGTTAAGTGACTTGTCCAGGATCACACAGATAGTGAGAGTATCATGTGTCTGAGGCTGAATTTGAACTCAGGGCCTCCTGACTCCAGGGCTGGTGCTCTAATCCACTGCACCACCTAGCTGTTGCCCACCCCCGCACCCCATGTACAGTTCTTGTTGGAAACTCTCCGTGGGTTTTGTCACACAGGGCCTCTTGAACAAGGCTTTATTTATTTATGGAGGGCTTCTGCCTCTCCATAGTCTTTCTTTGTTCACCAAGTGCTTAAAGGCACAGTTCCCAGCACTTGGTAAATTTTTGACTGATTGGATTTTGTCTCCACCCTGCCCCTTCGATGGCAAACTCGTGAGCTCTCTGTCTGTCTCTCCTCCCCTTTCTCACACAGACTCTTTTTTTCTTTTAATATATATTGTCTTGCCTCATTAGAATATAAGCTCATTGAGGGCAGTAGCTGTCTTTCTTTTTGCTCGTTCTTACATTATCCCAGTGCTTAGCACAGTGCCTGGAACATAATTCATGGTTAATAAATATTTCTGTCTATCTGATGGGACACTACTTTGCTCAGATCCTTTTAATTAGCAACGAAATTCTTTCCAAGCCCTGTTGCAAACAGAAGTTGGCCCTAGATCTTTTCTGCAAGAGGGTCTTCATCATCAATCCCCATCAATCAATCAACATTAAGCAACTACAGTGCTAAGGCCCCGCCCCCCCGGCACAAGCGCTAACTAGCTCCAGGTGAGCTGTTTCTGCGCCTGCAGTCCACAGGGACTACACCTCCCGTGAGTCTTTGCGACGGGGTGCTGCTTTTTTTTCCCCCTGAGAGGACGGGAGCAAGGTGAACGAGTCTGGCCCGTGTCTTACGCGCCTGCTCCTACGGAGGGCGGCGATTAGCTGGTAGAAGCCAATAGGAGACGGTGTCGCTCCAGGCTTAGTGCGGCCTGCGCCGAGGCGGACTGCGGAAAGGATGGGCTTCGTGCTGCGCGCCCTCTGCCAGTGGCGGGGCCTTGCGGGGTCGCGGGGTGGGCTCCCCGTCACCTCTGACGCTACTGCCAGGTGAGGGCTAGCGAGAGGAGTATCCGGAGGCGAAGAGGGAAGGGCAGCCTTAGAACGTGGAACGTTAGGGTTGAGAGGGGGGAGGGGAGACTTAGAACGTGGAACTTTAGAATTGGGAAGGAGAGGGAGCCTTAGACCTTGGAACTTTGGAGCTGGGGGGGAGGGGAGCCTTAGAACGTGGAACTTTAGAGCTGAAAAGGTGCGGGGTGGGGGGGGGAGCCTTAGAGTATGGAGCATTGTAGTGGAGACAGGGGAAAGTGGGACACTAAATCTGAAAAGGACCTTAGAGGTCAGCCCCGTCATTTTACAGAGAAGGAAACTGAGACGCAGTGTTATGATTATGTATCTAGTTAATGTCTGAGGTGGAGTTTGAACACAGGTCTTAATGACTCCAGGTCCAGTGTGCAATATACAGTGCTTGAAGTAGAAGGAGGGAGGGGGACCCTTACCATATGGAATGGCATCTTAGAACATGCAGTGTTGGAGCTGGAAGGGAGAGGGGAAGGGTATTTTAAAATTCAGAATGTCCCAGCTAGAAAGGAGGGGTAATGAAGCCATTCTGGAGGAAAGAACCCTGTGTCACGATTCTGATCACTTACAGTGTGACTTTGAGGTAGTTGCTTCTGTCTCTAATGATGGGATTCCTATAGGGTGGGCATGTCAGAAGGAGATAGAATAGGTAAAAAGAAGGAGGAGAGGTGAGTGTTTGAGAAGAGCCTAAGATTTATTAAGTTCCTACTACATGCAAGCCCTGTGCTCAATCTTAGGGTATATTTTGTTTTAAATGACAGTCCCTCTCTTGAGGAGCTTGTAGTCTAGTTGAGTGGATAATTGCTATGAAGGGGGAGGTGGCTGATTGTCTGTGTGCTGCTAGGGGAGAGAATATCTACCTAACGTCAAAAGACACAGTCCCCTTTCTCCCATTACTTTGAGGATGACATTAGCTAAGTCACCTTTCTCTAGAGGAAACTGCTTTATTTCCTTCTCTGTAAAATGGAGTTAACGATACTTGCTCTCCCTTCCCCATAGAATTGTTTTGAGAATCAAGTAAGAGGTATTTTTGTAAATGACAAAGTGCTGCCAATAATGGTTCTATAATAGGATGACAACCTTGGGACCTCTTATAAGAGTAATTGGTCTCATTTATAAATGAGGAAACAGGCCCACAGAAGTCAAGAGACTAATCCATAGTCAGAGGCAAAGCTCTCAGAGGCAGGATACATGTTCTCCTGACTCCAAAGCCTGCATTCTTTATTTATACTATAACACCCTGCTACATACTCATGAGTTATGCTACTGGAGCCCATACTTCTTTCTCTCTTCCATTGGTGCTCAGTGCTGTTCATAGCCCAGCTGCAGTCCCAAATAATAAAGAGGAATGAGCATTTCACTGGTCAGTTTCTGGGTGGTCACCAACTTGGCCCATCATCCACACTGCAATGTTGCCCCCTCTCCTGGAGCTTGCTCACAGAAAACCCGTTCCTTCATTCCTTCACTGTAGATCGTTCCGACCATGGCTGCCCCAGCTCAGAACTATCGCTGTCCTCACTCAAGTCTCTACTGATTCCTGTGGCAGCTTCCGTGAGGCACAGCATAGGCCCTTGGCACCTTGGTGCTATCAACAAGTCCGTTGTAAGGCCCGAGGCAACGAATACCGGCCCAGTAACATCAAACGGAAGCGGAAACATGGTTGGATTCGGAGGCTCAGCACCCCTGGTGGAGTCCAGGTCATCTTGAGGCGCATGCTGAAGGGTCGAAAGTCCTTGACCCACTGAGGCCTTGAGCAGGCTCTGTCAAGGAGCCAGAATGAGCAGCACCTAGCGACCGCATTAGCAAGATGGAATGGACAGGAACACCACCAAGACAAAGTTTGAGCTCCTGCATACCTATTGATATCATGGGACTTTTTCAGCAAGATCTTTGGGTTTAGAAGACTGAAGTTCTTTCTGTGATGTCAGAGAGTTTACTAAGTGCAGAACTATTAAATCTGTTAAATTAAACCCTGCAGGGGTGTTGGAGTGTGGTCTTTTCCCAGGTGTGCAGTCTGGGGGGCAGGGCAGGGAGTTATAAGCATATGCATGAAAATGTGAAGTCCTGTACTTGAATTCCAGAAAAATCAACCACACAAATAAAGAATGGAGGTGTGACTAGACAATAGTTCATTCAAAAAGAACTGGGGTTTTGTTGTGCAGCAAGTTCAAGATATCTTAACTGTATGATATGGAAGTCAAAAATCCAGTCTTGGGCAGTGTGAAAGACAGGTGGTGACCAGAAAGAAGGTATGAAATGGTCCCACTTTGTTTAGTTCTGCTAACCATATCTTGGGGAAAATGTAGGTAAACTGGAAGTAGATCAGAGTGGTAAGGAGTGTTACATGCAGATTGAAAGAACTGGGGCTGTTTAAACAGCCTGTTGTTTAGCTTCAGAGTCATTCACAAGCTACTCTCTCCCCACCCACCCTCACCTTTCCAGTCCTCTTATACTTTAGACCAGGGGTGGGGAACCTGGGGCCTCAAGGCCACAAGTGGCCTTCAAGGTCCTTGGGTGCAGCCTTTTGACTGAGTCCAAGTTTTAGGGAACAAATCCTTTTATTAAGGGGATTTGTTCTGTAAAGTTTGGATTCAAAGGGCTGCACTTGAGGACCTATAGGGCTGCATGTGGCCTGGAGGCCACAGGTTCCCCATCCCTGCTTTAGACCTTCCCCGCCCCTGCATACTTTTGGATCAAGCTAGAGTAGATTCCTTGCTGTTCTTTGAAAAAGACACTTTCTCCTGACTGGATATTTTCACTGGCTATCCCCAAACCTGGAATGCTCTCCCTCATCTCTACTTTCTGGCTTTCCTGATTTCCTTCAGGTGCTGCCTAAAATCCCACCTTCTACAGGAAGCCTTTCCTTCTTAGTTCCAGGGCCTTCTCTCTGTTGATTAATTTCTATTTATCCTGTATATGCCTTGTTTGGACATAGTTGTTTGCATGTTGTCTCCCCCATTATCTTTTGCCTTTGTATCACATAGCATAGTGCTTGGCACATAATAGGTGCTTAAATGTTTGTTAACTGACTTAGAAGATTTAGAGGGTAGGGGTGGGGCATAGTGGCTGCCTTCTAGGATATGAAGGGCCATCTTGAAAGAATTAGACATATACTTGACACTAGAAGACGGAACAGTGGGTGGAAGTTTCAGAAGGGCTGATTTAGGCCTGATGTAAGGGGGTAAGATCCTAAATGTAGAACTGTAAGGGATTGTAGAAGTTGTCAAGTTCTACTGAGGCCCATGGAAGTTGTGATTTGCCTAGATCACACCTGTAGTGTCAGAAATAGGATCTGAATCTAGGTCCTCTGAATACCCTTTCCCTGAAAGACTGACCCAAAGCAGGTTTTGCAAAATCCTAATTTTTCAGAGTTCTCAAAGCCCTCTGGACCTCTCTCAGACTCTGCATGCAGATAAATCACATCTAAAGTATCAAGTGGTTATTGATAAAAATCTCAGACTTGGATTTTTGGAGCTGGAAGAGGGATGAGTTCCTCTTGGGGAGGTAGAAAGACATAGACTCACTTTCTTGTGTTCTCTGGATGATTGAGGACATAAGGGTTCTTTTTGACACTCTACGTGGTTGTCAACATTAATTGCTGTATTCCAAAGGGAGAGCAAACCATACACCTGGATTAACATGGGTTGTCCACCTAGAGAGAGTTTGGTGGTCAGATGGAAAAAGTGTTCCCTGGTTTTTGCCTAAAGCTTTGGAAAGTTTAGCTTCTGTTATCACCAACTTAAGTTCCTCTTGTTTTTGGTGGGAGATGGAGGGCAGCAAATGGAGGGTTATAGTAAATTTTCCTCTGATGGTGTCACTGCTGCTGAGGCTCTGCTAGATACCGAGTATGATGACAGCTGAGAAAGCTAGGCTGCATCAGGACACTCTCAAGATCTCTTAAGAACTTTGGAATTGATTGTATGACACAGGAGACACTGGCACAGGACCACCCTGCATGGTGTGCCCTCATCAGAGAAGATGCTGTGCTCTATGAATAGAGCAGAATTGAAGCACCTCAAAAGAAACTCAAAATGGGCAAATTTAGAGAATCCACCCCAAATGTTCGCATGGGACTATTTGTGCCTGACCTGTGGTAGAGCATTCGAAGCTTGTATTGATCTGATCAGACACACTGAAACTTGCCTCTAGTATAGTGATGTCCTTTTTGGTCCTCTTCAAGAACAAAGGACAACAACCAGTCAACCTACCATTCAGGTGGGGACTGTTCTGCTGGTCAGATAGTATCTGGAGTATCATGTTCAGTTGTGGAGGTTAGGAGAGGGTTAGGGCTTGCTTGGTAAGTAGATCTCAGAGTCATTTGCAGAGCTGATGAGATCACCAAGTGACAGCATAGATAGAGAAGAGAAGAGGATTCAAAACTAAGCTTTGGGGGATGTCCTTGGTTAGTGGGCAAGACTAAGATGAAGACCCAGACGGGAGGAAAGAGATGGATTCAGAGCTGGATGGCCAGAAGATGTGACTAATGATCTAGGGGCAGAGGGGAGAAGAGGCAAAGACAAGTTTAGCCTTGATGTAAAGACAAATTTCTTAACAGTGAAGAGCTATGCAAAACTGAATTGGCTGCCTTGGAAGGTAATGGGATTCATTTCCTTTACTTCTGAATTTCAATTGGGAAGCCTACAAGTGAAGTCACTCGTTGGGTTTGTTGTGAAGTGGATTCTTCTTCAGATGTAAACTTGGACTAGATGATCTTCAAGGCCTCCTCCAACTCCAGTTTTGTGATGTATGCAAGGCATTTTGGCAGGCACTAGAGAGACGAAGATCACAAATTACAGCGTATGTTGGCCCTCAGGCAGCTTATCATCTGTGAAGGGATAGAAATAGATATGATTCAAGTTTGAATTCCATGGAAGCAAAGAGCCACCAGGCAAAGTATTACAAGAAATTCAAGGAGGAAGTGTTCACTCTTACGTGGGAAGATGGGTTTCAGGGAAAGCTTCATGGAGTAGGTAGTGTTTACTTTGGACCTTAAAGGAAGGAGAGCTGTTTCAACAGGTGACAATGGTGGAGAGGTGGGAGGAGAGGAGGGACAGCATGTTCAAAGGCATTGAGATGGTAGTGGGCCGGATGAAATCAGGGGCAGAGGAATAGTATAGTTTGGCTGGAATGTAGACTGCTCGAAAGGGAGAATTTTCAGGGAAGGCTGGAGCCGGATGCTACATGTCCCTGAATTCCAAAATGAGGAGTTTCAGCTTTATTCAGTGTGCAATGAGGAGCCACCAAAGTTTTTTTAGTATAGTAGTTCATAAAGAAAATCAAGTAAAAAGCTACTCGAAATAATAAACAACTTTAGCAAAGTTGCAGGCTATAAAATAAACCCACATAAATCATCAGCATTTCTATATATTACCAACAGAGCCCAACAGCAAGAGATAGAAAGAGAAATTCCATTTAAACTTATTGTAGACATTATAAAATATTTAGGAGTCTACCTCCCGAAACAAACCCAGGAACTCTTATGAACACAATTACAAAACACTTTTCACACAAATAAAATCAGATCTAAATAATTGGAAAAACATCAGTTGCTCAAGGGTAGGCCAAGCTAATATAATAAAAATGACAATCTACCTAAGCTAATTTACTTATTCAGTGCCACACCAATCAAACTACCAAAAAATTATTTTATAGAGTTAGAAAAAATAATTCATTCATTTGGAAAACAAAAGGTCCATAATATCAAGGGAACTAATGAAAAAAAAATGCAGGGGAAGGTGGCCTAGCAATTCCAGATCTTAAATTGTATTATAAAGCAGCAATCATCAAAGCTGCTTGGTACTGGCTAAGAAATAGAGGTGGATCAGTGGAATAGGTTAAATATGCAAGACACAGTAGTCAATGACTATAGTAATCTATTATTTGATAAACCCAAAGACCCCAGCTCCTGCGATAAGAACCCACTCTTTGAAAAAAACTGCTGGGAAAACTGGAAAAGAGTATGGCAGAAACTAGGCATAGACCCAAATCTCACACCATATACCAAAATAAAGTCAAAATGGGTTCATGATTTAGATATAAAGGCTGATACTATAAGCAAACTGGGAGAACAAGGAATAGTTTACCTATCAGATCTATGGAGAACAGAAGAATTCATGACCAAACAGGAGATAGAGAACATTATGAAAAGCAAAATGGATAATTTTGATTACATTAAATTGAAAAGTTTTTGCACAAACAAAGCCAATGCAACTAAGATTAGAAGGAAGGTAGAAAATTGGGAAAGAATTTTTACAACCAGTCTCTCTGATAAGGCCTCAGTTCTAAAATATGTAGAGAATTAGGACAAATTTATAAGAATGTAAGCCATTCTCCAATTGATAAATGGTGAAAGGATATGAAAAGACAGTTCTCAGATGAAGAAATTAAAGCCATCTATAGTCATATGAAAAAATGCTCTAAATCATATTGATTAGAGAAATGCAAATCAAAACAACTCTGAGGTACCACATCACACCTATCAGATTGGCCAATGACAAAAGGAAAATGATAAATGTTGGAGAAGATGTGGGAAAATTGGAACACTAATGCATTGTTGGTGGAGTTGTGAAATGATCCAAGCATTTTGGAGAACAATTTGGAAATATGGCCAAAGGGCTATAAAAATGTGCATACCCTTTGACCCAGCAACAGCACTTCTAGGGCTATATCCCAAAGAGATCATAAAAATGGAAAAGGACCCACATACAAAAATATTCATAGCAGCTCTTTTTGTGGCAAAGAATTGGAAATTGAGAGGATGCCCATCAATTGGGGAATGGCTGAGCAAGTTGGTATATGAAAGTAATGGAATACTATTGTGCTATAAGAAATGATGAACAGGCTGACTTCAGAAAAACCTGGAAAGACTTGTATGGTCTGATGCTGAGTGAAGTGAGCAGAACCAGGAGAACATTGTACACAGTAACAGCACATTGTGCGATGACTAATATTGATAAAGTTAACCCTTCCCAGCAA